TAGTGGTATTCAATTAAGATTTTTAAGTAATGAATAAAAGTCTAGTGGTATTCAATTAGGATTTTAAAATAGATTGTTTTGAAGCTTAAAAATCTAGTGGTATTCAATTAGAATTTTTAAGTACTAAACATAAGTCTGGTAGTATTCAAAAGCTTATTGATTTTGAAGTATTTGATAAAATGGTGTATTGTGTGAGATTTTTGAGTAGGTGCTATAAATAACAAGCCCCATGAAAAATCTCATTCTTCTGTGCAAGATTCTCACTTCTTTTTATTTTTCTTTCTATCTCTTCTCTATTTTTCTTTTATGTGAGACCTTGCAACCTTTGTGTGGCTGTCACCCCTAGCAATCCATCGCCAAACCTTGTCAGAACCTTGTTTCTGAACAAATTAGGTGACCATTGCGAAACGAACGACCTGAGTTGTTGTGGAAGGAACCAACGAGATAGCGAATAGCTGCAGTTTGTGCAAAAGACGAGCGATGGATAGATGGTCCTTCCAAATTGATTACACTACTTGAATGAAAACAATAATAAGAAACAAGAATAATTTTTGAATTACTTTGTGGAGTATAGAGAAAAAAGCGAACCTCCTATGGAAGAAGATGAAAGAAAGCGATTTGGGTATATGAGAGTGGGTATCATGCCCACCAAATGTTCGATATAGTTCCCCAACCAAGATATCGACATTGGTTCAGTGAGCTTTATTAATGTTCTTGATTAATAACAGAAAACAAGATGGGCTCCCCATATTCAAGCCTATTTCGATATTTCACTGTCAAATTTCTGATGCAAAGGAAATCCTTCATTTAAAATATATCATTTTTGTTTCCTCTCTCTTTTTTATTTATTTTAAATTTCCTCTCTTTGTTTAAATATTCCTTTTTCTTTTCTTATTTGGTTATATTACATGATTTTGTTTCATATGAATCCTCCATATAGCAAATCTTTTGATTCGTCAGAGAATACAAAAAAGTCCTAAGTGAATTCAAAATAGAATGGCAGAATTGTTAGCAGGGATATATATATTTTAAGATCAATACGATGCAAGTCTTGTTAAAGATATTGTTGTTAGCAGGGATATATAATAGGGAGTTTCACTAAAACACCCAAAATGGGGGTTGAAATTATAAAAAAACCCAAGCACTATTTAAACATATAAACACACCCAAAACCCATCATTACACACACTTAAAACTCATTTATAAACACACCCAAAAAGTTGACTTTGAGGTTGATTTTGGGTGTATTTATATGTTTAAATAGTGCTTGAGTTTTTTTATAAATACATGTCTAGAATTGGGTTTATTTATAAATTTGTATATATAATACTTCAAAGATATTGTTGTTGAAAAACGTGTTGTTAGTAGAAGGCATTGGGTGCACAGATGCTTATCATCGTTGAGACTTCCTTGTTTTATTTTGATCTAAACTAGTCTTTCTTATCTTTCTTTTTATATAATACTAAAAAATAGTGAACAGTGGAATGACTAGAAGAAGTCCATCACTAGGAAATTTCCCAAGACCAACAAAGAGAGGATGCTAACACATTGAGAGCTAGCATAGCTTTAGCTATGTGGAGAGATGCTATCTAGGACATATGAGGAGATGAAGCTTCAACAAATGTTTATTACGTCTTGAATAACTTTTGTTTTTCTTAAGCCATGTCTAGTTGCTACATGACATTATTGTTATTACTTTTATCATTTGGTTATTTATCCATGTGGCATAATTAATTCTTGTTATTATATAATTTTTATTTCATATAAAATCCTAGAGCAAATCTTTTGATTCTTTGGAGAATACAAAAAAGTCCTAAGTGAATTATAAGAGAATCATGTAATTACAATCTATTAAAATCATAAGTAAAATCTTGTAATTACAAATTCTGCTGAAATTCATTACATTAAAATCATGTGATTACAATCTATTAAAATCCTAATTGAATACACCCCCTTAAGTGAATGATGGGCAATAGGTTGTTAATAAGGAGTTTTTATAAGGGGCATTTGTGATTGAGTTTCAAAATAAGGATATTAATGAATAAATTAGGTGAGCCAGTTGTAAAGCCGCCAATTTCCCAAAATTATATTAGGAGGTTCAGATTTTTCTTTAACAGACTCATTTTACAAATAGTGAGGGGATTAATTGAAGTTACGGTGGTCATCCACATTCGATATGTTTCATTTATCCAAAAATCGTTAAAAAAAGAAAGGAATTGGTTCAGTTGTAGAATAAATAATGGAGGGGCCCATTTGATTTTAAAAGCAAGTTTTGTCCGTTGGATTGAAAGAAAGATCTGGGATCTGAGACAACCGCCCCGAATTATGCTCATTGATCAAGGCGTTGCGTGGAACGTTTCAGTTGACTACCGCTTGCACTCTCCCAACGGTTGACTTCACCATATCTTTACAAGAATCCGACCACGCCGACGGTTGCGCTTCAGTTGTGAGTTCTTCGCTGTACTATAAGCACAGGTTAGGCTCCGACTAATAATTGATTTACATTTGTGCACAAATTGGTTTGGTGTTTGGGGTTTGGTGTTTTCCCCTTTTTGTGTAATCCGCCGTTCCTGAGTCATGTTGTTGCTAAAGATGTTATTTGGCTGATTTCAATTTCGTTTCTAAACATTTGGGGAAATTGAAAATACTGAGAGATTGCACTTTTAGCGAAATAAGATTTCGAGAGCACCAGGGGTTTGATAGGGTATCTGATGCATTGGCCAAAATTATAAATTCACGACTAGGTTAGCGTATGCTACTTTATATTATAACATGGCAGATTAGACTAAACTAGAATAGGTCTGCCATAGGAAATAAGGAAAAAAACATATTTTCATGATAAGATTGTTCTATTTATATAACAAAATGTTTGAAAAGACTCAGCAAATTGCTTCTATTAATTGCACTGTTTGCAGAAGATTGCTTATACACCATCGCCGGTTGGGTGCCACAAATGAGAAACAAGCCCCAAATGGAATTGACGACAAAACGTGCCTGGTCCCCTGTTTCTTCAGCTTTCCAACCGAAATTTGATGTGTTCTTGAGTTTCAGGGGTGCAGACACCCGCAAGAGTTTTGCAGACCATTTGTATGGCGCATTGCGACAAAAAGGAATTAAGACTTTCGTTGATGACTCAGAAAATGAAAGAGGAAAAGCGATTTCTCCACAACTCATTTCAGCAATTGAACAATCAAAGATTGCTGTCGTTGTGTTCTCTGAAAATTATGCTTCTTCAACATGGTGCCTTGATGAACTTTCCAAAATTCTTGAACGCAAGGAAGGGGGAGATGCAGTTCTACCAATTTTCTATTATGTGGACCCCTCTGATACCGGGAAGCATATGAGTAGACTGACTGAAGCCTTAAATCTACATGAAAAAAGGTTTGAGGAAAACATAGAGACGGTGGAACGATGGCGAGCTGCTTTAGAAAAAGCGGCTAATCTCAGATGGAAGAGTTCAAACGACAGGTTGGTATTACTTGTTACTCTCCTAAGATCGTGACCTTGGCTGATCATGCCGTTTGCTTGATGTACTCTTGGATTTGGATTTATTCTTCTGCGTTTAACCTTTTGACGATTTTCCTGGATTCGGCTTAATTGTTTCTTGGTCTGGCCGTCCAAATGTTAGTTTCTTAATTTACCAAAAAAATTTCTTCGAATAGCCTAAAATCACCTGCCCCACTGAGGTGAAAACATCCAACTAGAACAGCGTTTTTACTTTGTTTCTTTGTGTTATTTATGGCTCACACTCTTTTTTCTTTTCTTTTTCTTTTCCATTATTCTTGTAGGTATGAACCACAACTCATCAAAGAAATCGTTAATGAGGTACTAACCAAAGTACGCCCTGAGCCTCAAGAAAGGCTGTTCGGAATGTATCAAAGATTGGAGCAACTGGATTTGCTTTTAGATGCAGGATCAGATGATGTTCACTTCATAGGGATATGGGGGATGGCTGGGTTAGGTAAGACAACCCTGGCTAAGACAGTTTATGAGAGGATTCTTCATAAATTTGAAGTCAGCAGCTTCCTTGACAGAGTTAGTGAGGGTTCTAAAGCACATGGTCTAAGTAATCTACAAAGAAACCTTTCCAAGGTCCTCATGAATAAAAATATAGAAGATTGGGATATTCATGGAGAAGCCACAATGAGAAAGGTCTTGTGTGAGAAGAAGGTTCTTCTCGTTCTTGACGATGTGGACCAGATAAGTCAGTTGGAAACCTTATGTGGAAATCAAGATTGGTTTAGATCTGGAAGCAGAGTCATTATTACAACTAGAAATGAACAATTGCTGATTACGCATGGTGTGGAAAGAAGATTTGAGATGCATGAGTTAAATGATGATGATGCGCTTCAACTTTTTAGCTGGAAGGCCTTCAAAAAGGATTTTCCGGATAAAGAATATATGGCTCTTTCAAAAGTTATTTTGAATTACGCCAATGGACATCCATTAGCTCTTAAGGTGTTGGGTTCACTTTTGCATAAAAGAGATCAAGATGCGTGGAGAAGTGCATTGTGTAAACTGAAGGATGCTTTCAAGGGAGAAATTATGGATACACTTAGAATAAGTTATGATGAACTAGAGAAGCAGGAGAAAAACATTTTCCTCGATATAGCATGCTTCTTTAAAGGGAAGTGTAAAGACCAAGTAGTTGAAATACTAGACAATGATGGCTTTTGTTCACGTATTGCAATGGATGTTCTAATTGAGAAGTCTCTGTTGACCATTTCAGATAATATGGTGTGGATGCATGATTTGTTACAAGAAATGGGTTGGGAAATTGTTCGTCAGCAGGCTCAGGAACCTGGCGAGCGCAGCAGGTTGTGGCTTTCTAGGGACGTCTTTCATGTGTTGAAAAATAATTTGGTAAGAGCTTACATGGATACTTGAACTATAGATTAATCTAGAAATCAGAGTACAAAACAGACTTTTATTGTTACTTCTCTTCTTTTCCCTATAATTGCAGATCACTTGTCCTCTATAATATTATGAAATTTACTTGTTTCTTTATTCTTGCTTATTAGGGGACGAACGCAGTTGAAGGCATTGTCCTGGACTTGCCTGAACCTAAAGTGGTACGATGCAATTCTAAAGCCTTTTCTAAGATGGTTAATCTTAGATTGCTCCAAATTTGTAGTGTTCACCTACCCCATGGGCTCAGCTACCTCTCTAATTCCTTGAGGTTTCTTGGATGGAGTGGTTATCCTTTAAAGTCCCTTCCAACAGGTTTCCAACCGGATAAGATTGTTGAACTCAGCATGTGTCATAGTAGCATTGTACAGCTTTGGAGTGGAATAAAGGTGTTTACAAATAACAACTAGAACACAATCTGTTTATTTTAGTAAATTGGAAGTTTTCCTGAATCTAATTATTCTTTATTTGTTGTCACCTTTTGCAGTATTTGGACAAGTTGAAGGTCCTCAATCTTAGTTATTCACAACATTTGACTAGAACCCCCGACTTCACAGGCGTCCAAAATCTTGAGAGACTGTATCTTGAGGGATGCGAAAGTCTAGTTGAGATTCACCCATCCATAGGATTCCTCAAAAGGCTTATTTCCTTGAACCTCAAAGGCTGTAAAAGTCTAGCGAGTCTTCCAAGTAAGATTGAAATGGAATACCTACAGAGTTTTATTCTTTCTGGTTGCTCGAGAGTTCAAAAGCTTCCTGAATTTGTGGGACATATGGAGCATTTGCGGGAGATTTCCTTAGATGGGACTGCTACTGAAAATATACCTTTGTCTGTCGAACGCCTGACTAGACTTTCTTCATTGGATATGAGAGATTGCATAAATCTGCGTTTTCTTCCCAGTACCATTGGCAATTTGAAGTTTCTTAAAACTCTTGATTTGTCTGGATGCTCAAACCTTGCCAAACTGCCAGAAAGCTTGGGGGACCTAGAGAGTTTGGAGAATATTGATTTAAGTGGAACTTCTATTGAAGAATGGCCATCTTCTATTGTCCTTTTGAAAAACCTTAAGTCGTTAATTTTTCGTGGACCAAAAGGGCCGTCACGACAGTCATGGCATATGGCTCTCCCTTTCCGATTAATGCCAATGAAGAGCCGTCAGCCTATGAGTTCCTTCCTGCCTCCCCTCTCAGAGATCTGTTTTTTAACGGAATTAAATCTAAGTAATTGTAATCTTCTCGAAGGAGAAATCCCTGGTGATATAGGTTGCTTATCCTCTTTAGCATCATTGAATTTAAGCAGTAACAATTTTGTTAGCCTTCCTAAAAGCATTAGTGAACTTTTGAAGCTTGAGTATTTATCCTTGAGGCATTGCTGTAAGCTTCAGGAGCTTCCATTGCTTTCATCGTCTATAGCTTTAGAAGTAATTGCAGATGGTTGCACTTCAATGAAAAAGCTGCAGTGGCCGTCGAATTTGGACAGATTGAAGCGGTCGTGTTTCAATTTCATCAACTGCACAGGGTTGGTTGAGAAAGAAAGCCTTAGTATGCTCGAAAGATACCTTAAGGTTTGCTCTCTCTCTCTGCCCGTTATATATTTATATATCTAATAGTTTTAACACCATAGTTTATTTTCTGTAGAGAGTGCCTTACGCCGGAGATAGATATGAAATTGTAATGCCTGGAAGTGAAATTCCTTTGTGGTTCAGCCATCAAGCACTCGGGTCTTCGGTAAGTGTACAACTACCTCGGAATTGGCGTGATAATAAGTGGATGGGATATGCTCTGTGCACCGTTTTCCAAGTTTTTGGCAGTGGATGGGAGCTCGATTGTCTTTTGAAAGTTAATGGAAAAGAACAGTATCCTGCGCCTATATTAGCAACTAATGTCCAGCCTATGTCAGATCATCTTTGGCTAGTCTACATCTCTCGTGATTTAAGCTTGGGTAAAGAGTGGCAACACCGCCGCAACCAGTTAATATTTTCATTCATCAGCTCAGGCCCCAGCTTTGTAAAGAAGTGTGGTGTCCGTTTGATATATGAACAAGATGTGGAGGAGTTTAACAAGATATTGACCCAACCCAGCAGCAAGATTTCTCCTTCTGAGGCCATGGATGCCCTTCATCATGATGAAAAATCAGAGTCTCTAGAAGGTGCCATTGTCCAACAGAGTTTTTGGAAAAGACCAAGTCGAAATGGTAGTTTTACTGAGCAATCGCACTTCAAAAGATCCAAAGCAACATAAATTTTTTGGCATGGGCAGAACTGGTCTAATGCCTTATTATCAAATGCCTCTAATTAGTCTAGGAGATGTGTTTAATATTGACCTTGTGTTTGGATGAAGTATTTCTAATTTTCATAGAAATAGAAATTGTAGTCGAAGGATTTTTTAATGACATCATTTAAAATTACCTCAACTCCAAATTTCATTGTTTGGATGCCTTGTATATAAAATTTAGGAAATGACATAAATTACAATTTCATTTGTTTGGATAATCATAGAATTTTTTTAAAAGAATTTTGAATAGAAATTTGCTAGGTAGGCGCAATTTCATGTCAACTTGACTGAGCTGCTTAACCAGATTATTATAGGAGTGGGTTGGGTTGGATTGACCTAGTAATGAGCGAGTCTTGGGTTCACAAAATTATAAATTGCTATTGCGGGTTGGAACCAAACCTTGAACGTTAACTTAATTTTGAGTTAATCCAACCAAATTGCCGAAACTGATAACAAAAGAGTTGTCGGTTGGGATGGCCTAATAATGAGCTGGTCTTGAGTCTAAGAAATCATAAATTGTTATATATTGAGTTGGGTTACGGACTGATATCAAAATCGACCCAACCCAACCCATGCCCAGTCTAGAGAGTATGGAGGCTTAGGAATAAATAAATAAAATGCAACTTGACATGAGTTTCATTCAAATTAGTTTCATTTATTTTCTTTCAACATTTTATTAAGATGTTCGCAAGAGGTTCAAGAGAATATGTTTGATAAAAATAAAGCAGGTAATAGTCAAGACTACGAATCCAAAACATTCAGAACCGACTATTTTGCCAGACTTTGGTGCATGTTTTCCCCACTAAAGAAACATCAAGGTTGTGATAAATTCAACTGAGGATGATTCATACTCAAGCACATTAAGGAATTGAAGTCAAGTCAAGTTGTTTCTCCAGTAAAATAGATAAAAATTGTAATCAAGATAAAGTTATCTATATTACTCAAAAAACAAGCCTAACAATAAATCAAAACAAATGAAGGCATGTTATGAATCCATGGAATGTGGATCACCACTGTTGTTGTCAGATTAGCTGCATCCTCAACTTGTGATACTCGCAAGTGCACAAGCCGTTTGGTTGTATAGCATATGTAAGTGCGAGGTCGATCCCATGAGGATTAATGATAGATTGATTCAATTTGATTCCATGCACAAAACAGAAAACAAGAAAGAAAATAACATAAAACAAAAAAGAAAGAAAAGAAACTAGATCAACATATTTGGAAATGGAGCCGATCCAATGGTCCGAACATATCGAACTCGGATATCGCCTAATATGTATAAATCCGTTCAATCATAAAACGATAATCAAATTCGAATCCGAGTGTACCGTCAAGCTTGGGAAGGCATGAGGACATTTTAGGACAAAATGGGCCACCACACCATGGCCCCCGCGCCGCCACACCCTCCGGCACCGAGTGGGTGTCTTGAGAAAGTTCTGGCGACCGAAAATTTCTGAAAACACCCGACAATACATATACCTACGTGATCAGAATAACTAGGGGAGTAACTTTTGTTCTTGGCCGGACGGTGCTAGAATCGTCAATTGAATTTCCGACTGTCGCATGCGTACGGAGGAGAGAGAGAGAGAAGCTGATTGGTTTTTTTTAAATCTGTCTCTGAAATTTTTACTGTTGTGCCACTACACTTCCGTTGACCATAACATCTTCGTTAAAACTCTGATTTGAGCCTACTATGTGTCTACGAATTTGTATCAACAAGCTCTATGATTCAATGATTATAACGGTGCGACTCTAATCCTGAAAATCCTTACGGATCAAAAAGTGACTCTGAGAGCAAAATTATAATTTCACAATTAAATAAATTAAATATATTAAATAAATGGTTAAAATTGGGTCGGGGTGTCACACTTGTACTCAGTGGATATAACCCACCTTGATGTTTCAAACTTCTTCACTTATACTAACGGAAAATCACATGATTCAATGATTAGTGGCGTGGTCCTCCCAACTAATTTGATGTATTATTTTATTTTTGTATTTTTTAGCTTAGTTTGGATATTTTATTGTGATCTTATTTGATAATTTTTTTTCCAATTATATATTTTAATTTATTTCTCGTTATGAGTTTTTTTAAATCAAGATTATATTTCTTTATCTTTATGTTGGATTGTTAGTTAATTGTAATGTTTTTGCATTACTCCCAATATTGACAGCCAGAGGCGTCTATTGGAGAAACTCCTTACTTTTTTTTTTTTGAGTTGTATTACACAACCATTAAGTATTTGAAGCCTGTATCATTTTATAAAATCACAGTATTAATTCAGTTGAAGCATGTTTCCAACAAACAAAAATCCCTCTGCACATCTCGTTTAGATGTTTTAGGTTGTTTATGTGCCTATTGCATAAACATAATGAATGCAATGAATTACCACTGCAAATTGAAAATCTAATTTGGTTTTGGTTATTTGTGCACTTTACCATATGTTTTAAGGATTGTCCCTTTGAATTTGAGGGTTGGAAGCTTGCGAGTTGTTCATTCTTGATAATGATATGGGACTTTAAATTGATGGCCTTGAGACTACATATTGTTGAAACCAAAAGCATTGGGTTCTTGAAGGAAGATGCTAGATGATGGAGCATCCATTTCAGCCTTGAAGAGATATTGCAGGTTTCTGATTTGTAAATTGTGTGTATTCTGTGTTTGATAACTTGGAATTTTATGTACTCTGTTTACTTGAGATCTCAATGTTAAAATAATGATCTAGAACTTGAGATAGGATTGAGACATTTATTGTCCTCCACGACAATGGAGCAAATTAGTGTACATTACAACCCATGAGATCCATGACTTCTTATAATGTATTATTTTTGTGCTTGAGATAATTTAGTTTGAATTGTAGAGTAATATCTTTAATTTCTAATCTGAATTGGTTTTGATTTTTCAGTGAACGATTCAAAATTTGGTATGGATGTTGAAGACTATCTTGTTGGTGGGTGTTCTAACATTTCTTTAAATATAATTGCATACGAATGATGTTGCTATGAAAAAAGTAAAAAATGTAACATGTTGATGCAATGTTGTTTCGTGATGAACTGAAAATACACAAAGATTTGATTCAGTCTAGTAGGCTTAGTTGCGTAGATATTTGAAGAATTAAGTCAGCATGCTAGTGATTGCTATTGGCTCATGGCTGATTTTGTCTTGGTGTGACTTGTTCTATCACCCAAAGTTGGAGGTCCTATCCTTGATAGTTGTTTGGGAACATAGAGACGTTGGAGATGAATCTGCACTTTGTGTTTCCCTTGTCCAATGGTTCCTGTGAGCCCTTTTTGATCATAAGTGTTTTGATTTGCTTTATGGTTTGTTCAATGTATAGTAAAATATCACTATATAATTTATTTCCTCTTCTTTTGCAGCAGGAGTAGCTATCTTCATTTTACTGATCTCATTTTATTCAACTCGTGAAGGTGAGTACTTCACTAGCAAGGTACATATATAATGCTATAAATATTTTTGTGAAATTATACTATGATTCCCTTCTTTGTTTTCCTCTCATGTGTATTTTTTCTTGAAACAGTTGATAGTACAAGGAGTCATAGAGGCAGAATAATTCGGCGATCCATATATTTTGTGGCTCATGAGTTGGTGGTGTGTATTTTATTGTGAATAGTAGTTTTGAGTATGTCATGTCAAGTTGGCTGCATAAGAAATACACAAATTCCTGGGAAGAATACGATTTCTCGGATTGTTTATTAGGAGTAGAATGTAATGACCCAAACCTTAATTAATATTTAATTATTAAATTATTAAGAGGAAAGGATAATTTTGCCCTTAGACTAAATCGTTAAAGGAAAAGTTGACTTTTTTATCGGAGAAGAATTTGAAAATTTCGCTTGTATCGTTGCGTAGAGCGTGATGAAACGAGTCCGTAGACACGTAGTGGGCTCGAATCAGAGTTTTAACGAAGGACTTACGATTAAAATACTCTTAGGGGCAAAATGGTAATTTTTGAAGTCGGGATTTTAAAACCTCATTTTCTCTTTCTTCTCCCTTAGTCTCTCTTCTCTTCCAGCAGCCTCCTAGTGCGTCCTACCCTAGCCAAATCTCCATCACCACACAGCCACCACCAACCTACAACCCAACCCACCCGATCGTTCCGCTACCACCCAAGCATCCTTCCTCGACCAAGATCCGACACCAGCGGTCGCGAAACCGCCGAAAAACTGGAAGGAAAGTCGCTGGTTTTGATAGAAACTTCGTCGGCTTTGTTCTCCGTCATCCGGCCATCATATTCGGTGATCCAGGTATGGAAATTGATCTATTCCTTAAGCCCTAGCTGCTGGTTGGGTAGGATTTCAGAAATTTCAAGCGTACATAGTTCGATTTTTGAGTTAGGGTTCGATTTTCGGGTTCAACCCGAACAGATCCCGCCTAGTGTGCAATTTTCAAGTTCAATACATTTGAGCCGTTGGATCATAGTCACCTTCAGATATGTTGATCTAGATAATTCTAAGATCATTTGGGAGTTGATGGATCATAAAACGGAGTCCCGGATACTCCAAAAATGCCAACCCTAGGGTTAAGGTTTTAGGAACCGTTCGATCGTACGATCGTGATCAAATTGATCATCCGATCGAGACCAAACTCGCAAGACATGTGTCCTAGGTATATTGGGACCTCTAGGACCCTCTGGAACATAATTTTGAGGTCATTGACCCACGGGGTGCCGAGTTGACATTTGGGACTTTTATCGCTTTTGAGTCCCGAGACACTTTTAATTTATTCCAAGCAAAAGGGACGTTAATGTGGGCATAAGAACAACTTTACTTTGATGCACGCATTTCTAGGAGTCAGTGGGTCAGATATTGAGTAATTGTTTTAATAGAATATTATGGTAATCGAATCAGGCACCCGGGCACCGGCAGAAGGGACCTTTAAGAGGTCTAGCTAGCACGGACCAGCAATGAGTGGACTTTTTGTTTTATAAATGATTTATGCAATTCAATTCCATTATTTGATGTTGAATAAGTTTTATTCAAAGATTAGTGCTTTTATAATTGGATATGTGCTTTTAAATATTTTAGTTTATATACTGCCGAGTGGGATATCCTCTAAGAATATAGGAAAAGGAAATTCAAGCTAAATATTAGATAAATGGCAGCAGAGTTCTAGGTTTAACAGGAATTCTA